CACACTGCGATTGAAATTTGACATTTTTGAGAGCGAATTGTCTGAAACCAGGTGTTGTCATCGTTCTAAAAGTCTTTGGAGAGTAGTCTGTTAGAGTTACCTAACATTTCAACATCTGTGTGGAGGCAGGCCCGTAGGCTGCATTACAAATGGGGGGGGGGGTTGTTTTTTCATAATGTAGACCTAAATTAAATGTTTTAACTCAAATTAGTTCAATGCACAGGTAGAGTGAACGCACTTAATCCATGAACCTTAAATAGTATTAATAAAATTATGCTAATTCCTTTGTTTTCTATTGTTTAATCAAAACTATTTAGTAGTAATTAGTGCTATTTGTTTCACGGATTTAGTGTGTTCACTCTATAGTGTGTAAAAACTGTCTGCTAGAATGAGCARTTCATAACAAAATGCTGCTCATAACAAAAGAATTTTAAAATATAGCAATGAAAAAAGAGAAACACAAGACCTTTTAACTAAATAATCCTTTCCAGTATCACTCTCACAGTCAATTTTGAACAATCTTTTAATTGAATTAAATTTGAAATTGATATTACAATTGAACTTCAGTATGGACTGTTTTGAATATCGATGTTGAATTTACAATGTAGTAGACTCCTTGTAGTTCATGGGAATTCAGTACCATCTGGGTTACAAAACAATGGATTATATATTTCCCCAGATAAAGCTGAAAGAGTCTATACCTAATTGTTTTTCAAATCCATTTGTCTAAATTAACTAATTCGCATTTCTATCAAATTATCATAGATTAAAAAAATAACTAAAATATTACAGWGACTTTTGTCTGAATTAATGAGGATTTATTGTACAAATGGCTCTAAAGAACGCCAAATTTAAATGGGACATAGTTTTTCTTCCTCTCACTATCAGATGTAGCATTTTCTATTGTTTTTGGCTTTAAAATTGCCCCTCTTTTGTCCTCTCCTATAGATTTCTTAAGACCTTCAGCAGTTTTTGCCTCTACTGTGATTGGTCCAAATCCATGATTATTGGTGTCCAATAGGGTCTCACTGTCGTTATTGGGCATCTCGTTCTCAGAATATTCACCTCCAATAGTTATTCTTCCCCTTCCTAACCGCTCATGGTACAAAGGCTGCTCGTCATGATCATAATAATCCTCATCATCACCATCATCATCATCATAGTAGCGATGATGCAGTCGTCTTCGGAAAAGTGGGTGTCTGCCTCTTCTGAAATGCCTTGGGCGCTGATCATCATACTCTATAGGACTTCTGTAGTCTTGATTAAATTTCATTGGCAATCCAACATATTCATTTCTATTTTGGCCTCTATTTTGAACAAATCCATTTGGCTTGTTTTGGAAAAATCTCTGTTGTATTTGGGGCTGTTGTACTTGGGGTTGACTTATCATAGATGCTTGTGCCTCTACTGGTAACCTTGAAATGGTCTGCACTTGTTGGGGCATCATGACCATCTGGTCAGGAGATACTTGAGACCTGATAATGTATGATAGAAATTGTTAATATGAGGTTATAATATCTCTAAATTATTCTAATTCTGTTGTCT